ATTAATGAAGACATAAGTCATCCTACTTTCAATTTTCGGAGCAAGGAGCAAAAAAAACTGTTAATTTTTTTCCGAGGAAGCAAACTCAGAAACTTTTTCCTCAAATAATTTACTGGTAACAAATATTCGATTTTTTTAGGTCCTTTTTTGCGAAATATAAAAAAGCCTGCTGAATGATTGACCAATCATGGGTTACTAATAGATGAAAACTAGACACAACTGTCCAACTGATGAGCATAGATGAAATTATTGTCAAGATTTTATCCACTTTTTCCCTCTGAAAACGCTTAAACAAAACATTGGAAGTTTTTTTAACACTGGGAAAAGTTCTGTTAGTAATTGGTTTAGTTATAATTTGTGGCTGGAAGACCTTTAAATATATTTAATTAGGGCACTTGATTGTGCGTGGGAAAAACTTATAGTCAAAGATATTCATCTTGTTCGGCTGAGGAAATTAGGATAGCCTCAGTCCACCAAATCAGGAAATTGCTGATCCGATATTGAACTCAATATGTGTTCCTTGCGTCTATCCTAAAAAAAAATTTTAGACAAAAGAATCAAAATTATTAGACCGTCGAAACCAAATGTTGTAAGACTCGCTTGCAGTAAAACTCGCTAATTATTATTAGTTTCTGGAACAATTAGAAATTGATAATCAGAGTAAAAACGTGTTTAGAAATTGATAATCAGAGTGATAAATGTGTTTTGGCTCTAATGCATTGATTAGTCAAGGATTCCAACAGTGAAGAATTTTCAGCGGTTCCATCGGTTTAAAAAATGAAATAAAATGTTTTTTTTTTATCCAAAGTGTGTTTTTGTAGACTGTGGGACTCTTTTCTACTCGTCCTCCCCCCACATTTGACTTTCAAATATAAAAAGCAAACTTTACCTAGCCAAAATGTAATGGAAATATGCTTGCTGAACAAACTAAGCTTTAGTGAACAAATTTGTTCTTCATATTTTCATCGTAAAATCACGCATTCAGCCTTGAAGACAAGCAAGAGAACTGAAAACAATTTGAAATGTGAAAGGGGGAAGTGTAAAAAAGCCGGCTTCGGTAGGGTATTCAATTAGTCCGACTTTCGAAAGATTAGTATGCTTGGGGTGATTTTTTTTATTCAGACCAATTCTCAAAAATATTTATCTCGGGGAGCTCAATCCAAAAATATTCGAGTTCCTAGAAAGAGTGGAGTGCGCTTATTGTTAGCCTATCCTGATTTAATTCTGGGATACGTGGCTGGGATACTTTGATGCTGAAAGCTAAACGCGCATTATTTACGCGTGGCGATTTATCCAGCACTACAAAATTGTTCGAAATTCAATTAATTCCACGCGACTGTTAACATTCAGCTTAAAAGTCATAACTTGTCACTAATTCATCAACCAAACACTATAATTGACCAGTTTATAGAACTTCGGGGCTTTCCCCTGATACGAGCAGTAGTGTTTGAATATACAGCAGAATTGTTGCCGTGGGAATTGATTTTTTGATGACATTTCTATCTCAATCGACCTAAATTGCTTGTGCTCATCATAAACCAACAAAAAATTTTACAAACCGAAACCCACCAAAAACTATAATCTTAAAGCCTGAATGAAACTAGTTCAAAAAATTTCACTGTATGTGTTAAAAAAATTTCACAGAAACCAAATTTTAATAAAAAAATTTGCTATTTTTAATAATTTTGATCAACTTTTCTAAATTTGAAAAAGAATATTAAATTGAGATTTCTCAAAGGTACAAACTTGTATTCTCTTTCACTCTGCTTCCATGGGAACTGGAATGAAAATTTCCCTTCCCATGACAGCCCTGATATACAAGCTATGTCTCCCTCACCCTCCCTCAGCTCACATGAGCATCAAACTGGCAGTGTAACGCGCGACAAGACCATGCAATTCGACCGAATACATTTGTAACGCACGAACTTTTCTGTATATCAACTGTAATTTTTCAGTAATCCGGCAATTTCAATCGAATTTTTCTAAAACTGCAGAGTTGGGGGACGCCTATACAAATTTAATTTTTAAGCTCAATGTTTTAAATTATGAAGAAACAGGGTAGCGTTGAAGAGTGCCCAAGTAACAGAACTGCAATAATGATTCTATGATTAAGATTGCAAGAAAAGCATTTTTTCAACTGTCTAACAAAATTAAATTTGTGTTTGCTTGAGTTTTCTAAAAAACCTGGATAAGTTTTGGCAAAAAAAATCAGGACACTACTTTAGAAGAGTATTTTGTGTGATTTGGTGAAATCTTGCTGCAATCAAAGAAACTTTCTTGCATTTTCTTGCTAACGATTTCGTAAAACTTAGTTTTTCGTAAAACCTTGAACGATCGATTTTTCCTTTCGGCACTCTTAGAATTTTGGTACGCTGCATTTGAGCCAAGATTCTGGACTGTTCTTTTCTTGTTCGAATTAAGAAAAAAACTATTTTTAGCGATAGTTTTGGTCATTTTTCAATCACACTGAACGCGCATCAGTTAAGCTGGCTAAAAGCATATTTAACTGTAAATTTTAGTTAAATATGCTTTTAGCCAGCTTAATTGATGCGCGTTGAGTGTGATTGAAAATATCAAAAAAAAACAAGCTGAAAGAACATCGTCTTTTGGATTGTGTGGAACCTGTATGATAGTCCAGCTTTCCTACAACTACGAAAATTGACAATATTTTAAAAAATGTAGCCTATTTTTTTCACTTAATTTTTGGGTTCTGATTTAAAAATTAAAACGAGAGAAAACTGCTTCAAAACCCACCAACAAAGAAGAACATAAAAATTCAGAAAAAAAAGTTGAAATAGATAAAAAAAAAATGCTTGCATTCAAAGATCATAGGCATCAAAAAATCCATCGCTTTTTAAAAAAATTTTTTTTTTGGCTTTGTTGAAATAAATTGCCTTTTTCAGCGCTCTTGAGAAAACAATTTTTTGGCCATTTTTTTGCTTGGCAGTTGTACTTACCAAAAATTACCCACTAACAGAAAAAACAGCTACAAACTAAAGAAAAAACAAAAAACCTAGTCATTCCAAGTTTTTTATGGGAATTTGGAAACATTGGAATCAAGAATATGCGAAGCTGACATTTTTTGATAAAATTAAGCCTAATTCGTCTACAAACATCTGAACGTTTTTAAAAAATCATCTCCGCATTCTTTTTAAGATAATTGAATTTTTGCTTTTTTTTAGATTACTGCCTTCCATTTAAAAAGAAAGCTGTGACAAAAGCTTATAAAATGAGTATTTGGAGGGTGATCAAAAGTGAAAACAATCCGTAACAAACATATGTCATGAACAGTTAAACTTTAAAATTCAAAGCTTGCAACTTGAACAAATCAGTTTCGACATTTGGTACAGAGGTGAGCTGCATTTTGCAGACATCAGCAATTAAACGCCAAGAATTTGCATCTCTTAAAAGACGAGAAAACTAACAAATAATTGCTTACGATTTTTCAAAAAAAATGAACGCGAACCGAACCATTCCTGGGAAATCAAAATTTTCGAGTCGACTGCTCTACAAAATTTGGGCCAGTGACTTAAAATTAGTGAAAGAGTATAAGCAGAGCACGAAGCTAGCCGAAACATACGAGTCGAAAAAAAAGAGAACATGCAATAATCCAAGAAAAAAATTCTGTTCGATGAAAATTTGTCGAACACAATTTCTATTGTTCAATATTTTACCCAAGAAACGCATGCTGTGGAAACTAAACTGAAATAAAGGCCTGAAAAAGTAAGCGATATTTCGTCAAGTCAATGCGCCATAACCTTGAGTATAGTTATAAAAAGTGTCTACTAAATGACCGGAACTAAAACGCGAAACAAAATCCAAATCAACTACTAAATGACGAGAACTAAAACGCGAAACTAAATCAACTCAGATATTAAAAAAACAAAAGCCACACAGCTGAAAAAAGAAGTAACTAATTCGGTTTTTAACATACGAAACACTGGGTGGCTATAAAACCAAAAATAATCATATTCACACTTCTCAAACTGTAATTCAAAAAAATAATACAAAATGAGAGCAAAACAAAAAAGTATAATAAACAAGGCAAAAAAAACAAATAAACCCTGACTGTTTAATTTGGTTCTCAAAATTTTGAGCAATTGCCAATTTTTCAAAAATCTTTTTCTAATCAGATAGCAATTAATGCTTAACCCTAGACTGCCTTAAACTGGTTATCATTACAAAAAAAATTGGGCTACAGAGCCCCTATAACCTAATGAAAACCAGCTGATCGAATAGTTATAGCACAAAATTTGCGCATTAGCTCTTGATTTTCAATTTTGAACAAATCTACCCCTGAAACATAAAAAAAACAAGAACTCCAAACCAAAAAATGGTTTGATAGTTTGAAAATTGAAATCCCATTTATTCAACTAAAATTTGTAGTTTTTCGTGATCTTTAGGCTTTTGCTGTTCGATAGTGGAGCTACCTTCTTTCAAAAGGAATGAAAGAAAAAATTAAATAAATTTGAAAACTTTCCTGAAAAAAAAGAGAAAAAATCATCAAGACCTATAAAAGTGTCGTCACTACGTTCATTGGCACCTAATTAAATCAAATCTAAGCTACAAAAACAAATTTTGCGGGTAAAGAAAAACATCACCCAATCAAGTGTCTTCAATTCGTTCAATACTCGAAAAACGGTCAAAAAGTCGCAAAAACTATTGAAAGATCATAAAGTATACACGCTTTGACCAGAAAACTACGAATGCAGCGGGAATTAAGCCTGCACCAGCATACGCTAACTTGAGCTACTCACACAAGCTTAAGGAGTCAATCAATACTAGGCAGCACGACATGTTCTGAACTTAAACAGATATAGCTCCTCCGGTTTGAATCAATAAAAGATACTCGACTTGTTTCGGTAACAGGCCTCGTAAAATAATAACAAGATCCACCTGTGAGAAAATCAAACATTTAGATCTTTTATGAGTCAGAAGGAGTAATTCAACTCCACTCTTAGATTGTTGGTAAATAAAACTTGCTTGTTTATTGAGTAAAAACATTCATACCGCCTCTGATAATGATATTTGCAAGTATTTCAAGGCATCAAAAAATCATAAACAATGCGGAGTGCCTTGTTTTATAGTAGGGGTTTGGAATAGCCTCCTTTTTGAGAGCGGATAACATGGATTAAAAATTAAACTAGTAGAAAATATTCAGGGTAAAAATTAGAGTTTTCTCTGTCTATACAGAGTTTGGTCATTTAGTGTCCTGTTGCCTTGACTGCCTGTGAATTGGGCTGATTTTCGTTGACGAATTTGAATGCGGTCTGGAAGGCAGCTCTTAAAGAACTCATCACTTCCTTTCCACCCCTCTGCTTCTGAAATATCAACAACTCTTAGATAATAATAATAGTAGTTCCTGCGAATCGCAGAGGAGCTACCAGTAGGCCTTAACAGTCCTGTCGAGGATAGTCCATTTGTATTATCTCCCCACATTCCAGACAGTGTTATTTTGCTGAGCGAAGCTGTTTTTTTTGCGACTCAAGGCCGTTTTTTTGCGTCTAGAACTTTTACGTGGTACCATTATTGCAGCCAAATTTTGTCAGGTTGTGGTAGACCTGAAGCTGGAGGTCAAGTGAGAGCTTGTCCTCACACTATCATTGTCATGGCATGGGATCGAATACAAGATCTGACGATATCAAAGTGAACGCCTTACCACTGTGCTAAGTGCCTCCTACTATGCTCATCATATATGGTTAAAATTCGAAACCTGGTAAAAATTACTTAAGTGGAAATTTTGGATTTCCTGGAAATCGCCAATAAAATAAAACTTATTTGCGAAAACTGCTAACTTGCATCACATCGCCTATTTCGACTACTTATGTCACTAAATCGAAAAAAATGCACATATTGTAACTACTACCTGGTCACGGTCGATTGTCTGGAATATGTAGCACATTCTCTTCACAGGTTGCACCGCTGACCCTCCTCCGTGCACTATTAGTGGACCGTCTTTGTTTTTGGCTGCGTCTGGTGCAATGGCAACTCGCATGGCCTGTCTCTCAGCCACTACATATGCGAAGGTCCTGTGGTCTGTGTTTAGGGCAGCGCACTGGATGTTGGGAATTGCATGCTCCATCTCGAGAATCTAAACACGTGAAACTTAATCGTAGAGAACACTACGGGCTTTCTTTGACGTTTTTCAATGGAAAATAATAGTTTGAAAGCATTTAGACCTAAGACACTTTTCCTTTCTATTTTATGCTTGAACATCAATAATATTGCAAATTCCACTAAATTTCCTCTGAACCTATTCTAGAACAACGTTCTTTAATGAGGGAGAAGATTACGTACGCCTAGCTGAGGGTCTGACAATCTGATGGAGCAGAAGTTGACCTGTAGCTGTAGTCTGGGCACTTTTTTCACTCCCTTGTCCAGGGTAGCCTGACAAGCTGCAATCAGTGTCTTCTCAGAGGGCTCAATGCCGTTGAATGGAAACACTCCCAGAAACTGAAATGCATCAGCATCCAAACAACAGCTAACATTTGCAGTATTATTTAGCTTTCACTGAAAACTAAGTTTCAAATCTAACTCGGAAATCAATGCATCTCATCCACAGGGCTACGATTTTCATGCACCCAAAATTGAAAAAACATGCACCAAAAAATGCACCGATTTTTGCGAAATATGCACCTAAACATGCACTGAAAAAGTTAGTCAGAAACTCAATTATCTTTGAACACAGTGTTGTACCAATATACAATCAAGTGTTGTTTCAAGTTCTCAATTGTGAGTCTCATTCTCTGGAGAGACTGAATTTGTCCCATGCTTGAGAACACTCTCTCAATGTCGACTGAAACCATGGGAGCATTCCGGAAAATTGCAGCGTCTAATGGGTTGACATCGGTAGTGGATAGTTTCTCACCCCGCAATATAAGTAAAAGTTCTTTGAGCTGCTTGAAATTAGGATTCCTAACCAACACTGAGTCCAATTTTTCTTTGTACTTGTCACCTTGAATTTTGAGTTCGACCTGATGCGCAAAAACCAATGAACGCGGCTTGCAACGTGTAAAAGCAAAGCTGGGTAAACCTTGCTCAACTAATCTCTTCCACATCAAAGGATTTCAACTGTATGCAGCTCGACAGGTCAACAACTTTAGTCAATTAATAGCGAGATGACTTGGTGAAATAGAGTAAATATGCACTTTTCCCATGAGAACATGCACCAAAAAAAGTTTTGCCCAAAAATGCGCAAAAACATGCAATATGAACTTTTCATGAAAATCCGAACCCTGCTCATCCATCAAATTAGATGTACATTGCCTATAACTTGAAGCACTTTATCAAATATATTTTAATTGTATTAAGCTAGCATCCTTTTGTGTTAGTAAACTATTCTCACCCCAACTTGGAAGATTTTCGTCTCTAGAGGAGAGAGCTCCGCCGTGAACGAGGGAGTTGTCTGAAAGTGAAAGATCAAATGAAGTTTACATATCATTACTGTTCTTAATATGTTCACGAACCTGAAACTCGGAGGAGCTATTTTTTGAAAAAACATAAATTTGAACTCTAACAGCGACTACAAGAATTAAAAATGTCATGCGGTCAAAAATAACAGATCCATGCGTTATATATTCTAGAAGATCATGACAAAGCAAACAAAACTACAATAGAAGCGGTCAAGTAGTCAGAACTAGTAATGATCACAGCGCAGATGCTTACTGGAGACGTGACCGGAGTTGCAGGCACATCGGGTACGTCTCGATTGATCTCGGATTCCAACTGGTCCCTGTTAAAGTCGGGATGATCACTCATGAGCTCGTTCGTATCCTTCAATTCGCACGCAACAAAGTCTTCAAACTAAAAATTGAGACTTGAGAATCACAGTCATATCAACAATGCGCCACACTCAAAGCCGAAGGTAAATACAATTCTAAAAATAGCGCGAAGCGAATATTATTGTGTGAATAATCATATTAGAAGACAACACAGATGATGCACATTTTATAAACAAACTTATACATTGAAAACAAGTTTTTTTTAACAAAAACTGTAAAACTAACGCAGTTCAGCTGATCAATATCCAAATCTTCGACGGACGTGAGACCTGTTTCATTGCCTTTCAGACGCTTTAATTTCGTGCGAAGATCTTTAATGTTCAAGGATGCAAGAAGCCGCAGCCGATGTCCAACGCATGAGATATCGAACTTCTGAAACAGAAATGAATGCGTAATCATCAGTGCATACACAAATGGTAATTTTTGAAATTTAGTTGAAAAACTTTGACATAGAGTGCTAAAAAAGTGTAATCGCTCAGTGTAATCGCTAAAAAGAATTGACCAATCCAAGTATCCCAATTAAATGGGATACTGGATTGGAGTTGGTCTGGGCCAAAAAATTGGAACTCCTAAAAGGTCTGAACGTTCATCCTGATTCAAGACTGCTGGCTGCTCCATGTGAAATAGTAACCTACACTAACTTAGTAAACTAACTAAAAATTGAAGTTTAATTCAATGATATAGATTGGTTACAAAATCAATAAATATGATATGACTGCAATCGTTCAGCAAGCATAAAAGAGTGTCTAAAATTTGTTAGCACACTGTCACGGTTGGGATACCTGTTCCGACCTTGACCCTTTAATTGCGAATAACACTTTAACATTCACATAGGTTGTTAATCTAACATAAAGCATGGTGTATGGCAACCGCCACACTTGTAACGGCTCTAAATTATCCAACACCTTACCAGAAATTGGCCATGAAAAGCTTGAAAAACTGATTATTTTGTGTTTGCAATTGTGTTCAATATTTGAGCAAACAGAGCCAGCTTCTAGCTTACATTTTTTTTCAGTAACAGCTGCCAAGAATCCTCGATATTGGAGAGATCCTCATTGCACCCAGCCTTCTCAAAATTGTCCTCATATTGAGTCAACTTCAACATGTCTAGCCATTGGTAGATATTGTTTAACGGTGGATCTGAGTCCTCCAATCTGGGAACCCTGGGACATTCTTTCACTGCTTTAGAAGTGATGATATCCTGGACTGTGAGCTGGTCTTTGATTCCCATGTAGTTCAAACTTTCCACTGTTAACACATCTAGACCCTGAAATGTCAATGAAAGCTTCCTCAGTCTCCATAATATACATACTCTTCAACCACTGGGCGTCATTAAGGAAAAATTTATACAAACAAGGAACAGAACTTTATTGTCTTTCGCTAACATTTCATAAAACTGAAAAACAGCTTAAAACTACGTTTAATTTATATATCTAGTTTTACCATTTTTTTAACATACTTAGCAAAATACAACAGGTAAATTTTCTTTCAGTCGACAAAAAATATCTACGAGGTCTTTTTACTCACAATGAAAGAAATGTCATCATATCCGTTCTCTTTAAACGTCGACTCGAGGTGACTCAAACGGATCTGCAACAGCCATTCTGCAATAGTTTTGGGCACCATTCCGTCTGAACAGAAGTAAACCAAGCGTAAATATTTGCTGATACATCTCTGCAAACAACTCTATGTAAGTCTTGGCTCTTAGCTTCATTCTTACTAGTGCAAGTAACAAACAAAAACTATTAGAGTTTAATGTTGCGAAAGGTAGCTTGTGGTCAAGATAGAAGATCAGTCGACGATGAGAGAAAGATGTGAAAGTTTTAACCTATCATGTCTTGTTCGAATTTGTACGCAAACACAGTGGGATCCTCCCCTACTCCAGCCAAATTCATCAGATCCTAAAACAAACATGAGAACTTTCAACAATGATGCCCCATTTCTCATTGAATGTTTTTCTCAATGCAGCAAATTCATCAGCCAAGAAATATTGCATCTGATTGTTCTTACAACTAAAAAGCTTTTTGAAATTCAACTTTAGAAGCCGAAGTAAAAATGGCTTCACAGCTCTTTGAACTTCAAAAACAAATTACGACTGACAATTTTGTGATAAAATAACTGAATTTGAGAAAACTGGATCAATAGGTAAAATTTTTATATTTTTATTCCGCTGGGAAATCTGAAAAACAAATTGGAAATAAAAGGAAATCTTTAAAAGTTCGAAATTGAAGTCGATTACGTTTTTCGTGAACTTCGTAATCGGAGAGCGCAACTTTCTTCCACGAAGGTGAAGCTGAGCTTCGCACCATTTGCGATACAACTAGATCTATCAAAATGAATGAATATAGTTGTGAAAAAAAAACATGCCCAAACAAAAGAATGCAAAATCAGCATCGGAAGCCAAAATATCTGAGCAGCTCTTCAAGCCGAAGACAAAACGAATTAAAAATTTCTACGTCCCATTTCCCCTGATAACACAGACAGGCTAAAAAAAACGATATAAAACAAGCCGAAACCAAATAAGCCAAAAAAAATAGAAATTTCTTTTTTAGAGACCATTTATCCACGTGATAAACGACCAACATACGAGCTGTATAGCTCATCACGGCGAACCACTGTTGTAACCCTGCTTAAGAACTACATGCAGTTTTTTATGGTTATTTTCTGGGCTGGATAATTTTGCCTCAACCTCAAGCAACGAGCACGGATCATGGCGGGCCTCGAACACCGACCTTTCGATTGAGAGGCGGAGACGTAACCACTTCATCATCTCTCCCCAATTTCAGCAAACCGAGTGGTAAAAGTGCAATCAACTTAATAAGAGTGGAGGGGAACGTAAAATGAACCGATCCAAAATTAGGTCACAGCCGATAAAAAATAGGCCGAAATAATTGGGGTCGAATAAAGTTTTTATGCCAAAATAATTAAAAAAGGAAATAATTAGTCAAAGCAAATAAAATTACAGTAAATTAAACCCTAGAATAACCATTAAAAACATGCGCGCAGCAAAAAAAAATCGATTACAAGATGTGGCATCCAAGTGGACAAAAGATGAGCAGACAAATAATTGGCAGACAATTCTATTTGAAACATAATATTTCCATTTTAAAAAAAACTTTCCTGGTCAGATTTGAACCAAGGAACTTTGCCTGCCAGACGTATTCGATACCTCCAAACAAGCTAAAAGGGTCAGGAATGCTACAAAACTTGAATTGATTATGAAACAAAGTACCACCAGAGATGAGTCCAGATGAGACAAGTCCTGTGAACAAATAGATTTACGGGAAAAAGTCTAGTAACCGATTGCAATACCATTGCTTATCGCAAGGGTAATTACCTTTAAGCAAACGAAATTGAATTGAGCTCAAATAATGCAGTTATACATAGAAGCATTCATAAATGCATTAATAGGATGAATGCATTTCTGTAAAACATTAGATCATTTTAAGCCTTTTCAAAAAAATCACCACGACCTATATATGAATCTGAATTACGTTCATTGACGCTTCATGCGTTTATTGAGCTCCGCCTCTACGCAAAAAAACCTAGAAAACAATTAAACCAAAAAAATGTTCATAAAAACAGATAGAAATTTATTCAAAAGAAATTCCGCAGCGCTCATCAACCCAATTTTCTTGAGATGACAAATATACGCTAAAAAAGCACGACGCTCAAAAAGTAGCAAAGATGATTTCGAATAAGGTTACCGTTGAAGAAAGAATTATAAAAGCTAAAGAAATGAAGAAAAAGAAATTTTAGGTTTTTTAAAGAGGGTCCATGATTTTAAGAATGTCTTGTTGAACTCAAAATTGAAACCGGAATTTTTTAGGATTAAAAATATTGTGTAATTAGCCGACACCCATAAACCTGAAAAATAACAAAAAAAGTTTTGGCAAAAACTTAAATTGGATGAAAACTGCATGTGTCGCGAGCGACTATGTAAGGTCCTTGAATGATATTTCTGTAATGTACGCAAGGTGGTATACGCAATTCAGAACCAGAACAACAGAGCGAATTTCGATAACCATGAAGCAGAAAAATCATGAGCTAAAAATAAACATAGCCAACAGATAGTTGGAAAAAGTCATGATCTCAAGGAAACAAAATTAAATTAAATAGTTTTTTTTTTCAAATAAAAAATCAAAACTTTCGAAAACCTAAGAAAAATAAAAACCCTTAAAAGTTCTTTCAATTTCTAGAACAATTTATGATTGACACTTTTTTGATAAAATTAACCCAACCTAAGAAAACCAGATTATTAGGCAGTTTTATTTTATTGGGAAATTTGAAAGTTGAACTCCCTTTTAGAAATTAGAAGTCGATCACGTTTTTTGACCTTGACACTTCTTCTGCTTGATAGTGGAGTTTGCCCCTCAACAAAGGCAGTAAACTGAATTAATAAAATTTCAATATTCAAACCGTGAAAAATCAATTTTTTAGCGTAACAATTTTAAACTTTTCGTGAAAGACCTATATAAGAGCATTCACTATGCTCATGGGTTCATGGCTCTTAATGGGTTCATGACGAAATCATGACCTCAATGCGTTAATTCACTTCATGCAGTAATGGGCAGTTCCATCAATCTACTCTTCTTAACCTAACTTTCGTGACTTTTCACCCAAGTTTCGCCAAAATATTTATCATAAATATACGTACCTTGTCCCAATCAGTGCTGTTATTTGTAGAGATCCGGCCATGTGGGCCAGAACTGGGCAGCTCTGAAAAGATAAGGCGATCAGGTAACCGAACATGAGGCCCCATTTACAGCCTAACATCAATGTTTGCGGTTAAACTGCAAAAATAAGTAATTTATGTTTGGAAATATTCTTGTTTGAGGAGTTAGATGATTTGGTGACCGAAAAGAAGTAATGAACCGCCCCAGGATACAAATTAAGTGATTGTGGGAGTTGACGAACTTAAAATATTGGACAGTTCTAACTTCCAAACTTCACAGCAAGGATCTCACAAAACCATGGAGACTACTCATAACATTATAACTAAAGCAAAGAACTTAAACTCCAGGCAGACACATTTGAAGCTATTTTCAAGTGGGCTTTTGAAGGTTAACTTTCAAGCAATAAAATCTTTCAAATAGCTAGAGGTTGAAAATCTGTCGTTTAATTTGATTTGTATGAAGATTATCTGCAGAAAAGATCACTGTTAAAAGGAGAATTGACCGTTATTCGTGAAATAACTCAAATCAATAACAATTTACAGTCCCTAGTCAATAAGTAAAGATACGTTTCAATGACCCAACCCAGGATTAGAACTCAAACTTGTTATCGAATTTATTAATCAACTGAACCAAACTGATTTACAAAATGCAAATAGCCGCTTATAATATTGATTACACTTATGAGCTTCTATGACAAAAAGAGAATAATTTTATTAACACGAATCGGTCATTCATTCTCAAGTTTACAATTGAGCGGATGTTCGGAGCAAAGTTCATTTCCCAGATCCCCAACACTTACTCTGCCATATACTATAATAAATGACAGGGTCAATGAACTACCTCCCAAGGATTTACCGGAAATGGCTTTAGGGTTGCCGAATTTGCAAATTAGTTGCTAGTTGCATGTATGGATGCGAACAAGATGGCCACTGCTGTTAGATCACGTCTACACGAACTTGAAAAGAACTAAGAGACGAAACGGTTATGACGCCAATATTTAACGAGGCGCAGAGATAATTCAGCCACAGACAATTCAGCCGATTTAAAAAACAGACAATTCAGCCAAAAAATTCCGACAATTCGGCCAATTTAGATTAAAGAGACTAGATAAAAGTAAAATTTAAAACTTTTCTAATTTGATTAGAGTCAGAAGGCTTTCAACACTTTAACAAAAAAAATGTGAAACATCAAATAACAAATTTCAAAGATCAAAACAAACTTGCTATGCATAAAGTTTTAAGATATATGTACATTGCAGGTACAAAGTTTTAAATACTTCTGTATATGGTCTCGATTGTAGTTTTTTTTTGCGTTTTGAACGAGTTTCTCATTGGCGATTGAATACTTGGGCCTCGGTTTTCTAATAATATCACCGGAAATCGGCTCTTTTTCCTTTTCCCCCCACCTCACATAAACATGAATTTTATAGTCTAACGAGTGGTTTTACAAGGTTAATTACGAAGACCAAATATATATTTTATGGCCTAATCAGTCTGCATGTCAATTTTCATGACAATCGGACAAAGTGAACAGTAATTTCAAATTGAAACATTTGCAGGTGGGGGGGGGGAAGGAAAAAGAGCCCGGAAATCAGTCTCTCTACATTTATTTCGGCATTTTTTTGCTCATCTTTGAAACGTGTGATCAGCTTGGGGAGGGCGGGGTGCTTTGTTGACACGAATTTATTCAAGCTGGCATCCCATGCCTCCAATGCATTGTTCGTACGAGTTTCACCGTTGAGCACCCGATTGAAAACGTTCCAATAGATTGATTCCAACGATTGAGTAACTCGGTATTGTAGGCGCTGCATAAAGAGGCAGGTCAATTTGGGCGTTGAAGACAACCTTTCGGGGAGCGCTACCAGTGTTTGCGGCTTTTTCTCGAACTTCGTTAGCAAACTTCTTAGCTTGAAATTTTGAGGGGCTCGGTAAATGAGTATGCTTTTTTCCGCGTTCAGATGTTACGAATTCCGTCTTACGTCAATTTTTGCTAAAATTGAAAGATTTAGAATGATTCAGATAATAATCAGCCAGTTGTTCAAGCTAGTTACCAATGAAGATTAATCAAGGTTAATTGTGTAAATGGACAATCTAACTGCAAAAAGTAGGCGTTAAACGCGGTACTGGTTCCAAGTTGGACAATATTTTAATCGCAACTAGCGTATAACGCACCTCCGGTACTCATAATAAACCGCATATATTGGAAAAAAGATCTGCATTCTTTGAATGTACTCTGACAGCACCCAATTACAAGTTTCGTAATTACAAAATTTGCAAAGTTTTTTTATTCATCTTTTTTTATACAAATTTTGAAGATAAAGAAGTTTTATATAAAATCTTCAAAAAACTTAAAATGAACTGAGAAATGCCACATCTGGGAAACTAAAAGCAATTGAGCAGTCGCATTTGGACGCAAAATTTGCAACTTCTGAGAGTACTCTTATAGTACCCAACTACAACGTTGGGAAATTCAAACTTTGAGATTTTTCACCTAGTTTTCTAAAAAACGTATTTTTTGAGAACCCGAAAAAATTTCACATCTCAAAAACTACCAAGATTTCACAAGTCTTAATTAATAGCAATATTCGCAATCTTTGAAAGTACTATGACAGCACACAACTACAGGGTTGGGAATTTCACTTTAGTGAATTATTTTGTAATTTGAGTTTTCTGAAAATTTCCAAAAATCACAAAAATCGTCTTATTTCTTAAGCTAAAAAAATTTGGGCATTCTTGATTGGAGGCCAAATTTGCAACCCCTGAGATTACTCTGACTGCCCCCAACTACAGGTTAAGAATTTCAAACTTTCGAAAAAAAATTATTTACTTTTTATGTAATTTTTTTTGAAAAAATCACAGGAACGTCTTATCTGGAAAACTGCAAGGTTTGAGCAGTCATATTTGGAGGCAAAATTCTCAACTTCTGAGAGTACCCTTACAATGCTTCACTACAGAGAAGGTAATCTCAAGTTAAGTGAAATTTTTTATATCTAAGATCTCTGTAAAATTTTGAGAAAAAAACGTCATATCTCGAAAACCAAAGACTTGAGCAGCCGTAATCAGAGGCAATATTTGCACCTCTTGAGAGTACCCTCACAATATCTAACAACAGGATTGAGATCTTCAACGTCAAATTTTTTAAATCAAAGTTTTTGAAAAAATCATAAAAAACGTCATCTCAGAAACTACAAAGATTTGAGAATTGAGATTTCGAGGCAAGATTCACAACCCCTGAGTGTACCCTGACAGCACCCAACTACAGGGTGAGAATTTCAAACTTTGAGAATTTTCTGAAAATTAAATTTTCTGAAAAATTTATGAAAAATCTCGAAAATTGCCTTTCTCTAAAACTAAAAGGATTTGGTTATTCGTATATGGAGGCCGGAATCGCAAAATCTGGGAAAACTCTGACAACATCCCACTACTAGGTTGCTAATTTCAAACTTGATGAAATAAACACTGAATTTAAACTGGAAAATAGAAAATAAAACCTTAACCATAGCAATATACGATATAGCTTAAACGTGAAAAAATTCTTTAATGAACATGCAAAAATAGTACGTTGAAAAAACCTAAGCGTGGCGAGATAGTGAAGCCCGAATTTGAATATATAATAGATAGATGAAAGTTAAAAAATTAGGAGACGGGTAGACAGACATAATCAAATTAATTAAAAAGCAGGTATACAGACAGACAGGCTTAATTTGGCCTCGCAAAAAAATAACTGAAAGGTAATGACCTTGTCGAAAACTATTTGAAAAATTTTCTTAAGCATTGCAATATATGATAGAGCTTAAACATAAAAAACTCTTTCGTTAAACATGCAAAACTATTATGCTTCAACATGGGAGACAGCAGTCACTCGCATTAAAATATAGTACAGACTAGTTTATCTTTTAAAGAAGTTTAAGTTTCTAATTGGTTTCAACCAACTACCCAAATTACCTGATAGGCGGATCCACCCTCCCCCGCCTAAGGCATGATAAGATTATCAGCGTAACTGTGTGTACTATTCTAAATTTGGAAACATTATGAGTTGCATAAAGTTTTATTATGTTTAGGTACTTTTGTTTCTGTTAATTTTATTTGTTTTGTGCATTTGAAAGGAATTAATTGTAAGTCGTCTAATGAAATCTTTGATGTTCTACCACATGTGAAAAGTTTTTGCGCGCACGCTTTAAAACTGTCTGAATTGTCTTTGGCCGAATCGTCTCACTCATTTTGACTGAATTTGAAATTGGCGAATTGTTCAACTTCAATAAAATAAAGACCGACTGCTGAATCGAGACCAAACAGAGACTACTCTAATAAGACCGAGTCGTCACCCTGAATGCGTGTCAACTTATTGCACAAGTAATCAAAAACATTATTGTTCCGACTTCCGATACAAAAGTAACGGAATATTTGTGCTCGGGGTGGGTTTTTTTCAGAGAAATTTCGACTTTTTAACTAGCCATTTTTTGACGGATTTTCTTTATATCATTCGAAAGGTATTGTTATCCTGAGCTCAAATTTGAAAAATTATTTTACCTGTGATTATTTTTCGTAAAGTTATGGGGGTTTAAAGATTGCCATTTTGGCCAATTTGGGGCAATTACGCGCTATATATTTCGCGCTAATAACGCGTAAGCGGAGATTTAATTCATGTTGGAAATCGTTCCAAATTGGTTGAAAGAAGCTTGTTTGCCATAATTGATTTGTTACAAGGAGCGGAATCTATCCTTTTGTACTTTATATGGCGTGTGGGTGGCTGATTTTCATAAAAAATTTCAAATTTTAGAGAAAAAAAATTTCATTTTGTTTTACTACGTTTCACTTTTTAATGTTATTACTGCTCCATAAACCTTAGAAGGCAGTCTGAACATTCAGGGCTTCGCATTGATACGAGCAGTTTTGTTTAATATCTTTTACACACCTAAATTTTCTTTCTCATTCAAATCATCTGTGTCCTTCGTTGCATTTGGTTCATCCCCACTTTCTTCGCCCTAAAATACTCCTAGTCTAATAGATGAACACGTTTTCTATGTTTTGACTGAAATCAATCTAATGAAAAACAGTTTTGCATGACATCGTAATCGTTTTCAATCAAAAAATAAACAACCCAAAACTTTGCCGGTCAATAAAATAACCTGATGTTGCATGCGTTGCCCTGGTTCGAAAGCAAAGTTGAAGAAAGCGGCCTGGTGATGCTCCTCTCCACTGCTGCTTGTGGAGGCAGCAGAGAGTCGTGTCTGGTCTGTGTTGATCTCCACTTGCTCAGTGGTGAAGTAGAGATGGGACTTCAGCAGGGGTCTCACTTCTACCTTGTTCTTCCGCAGATTCAGCAAAATATAACCATAGCCCCCTTCTGCGTCTGGGTTCACCTACAGCCAAGCATAATGAAATGAAATCGAGATTTAAATAAATATTCAGAAAACTTACAAAAACCTCATTTTTTTTTCCAATTTCTTCGTATAGAATGATAGCCATTTAAAAACTGTTTGACAGATCTGTTATCTATAAATGCAATGTAAAAATTTAAACAATCGATAAGAAGAGAGTTCAAGTAAGCTGTTTATCATGAGACACGTTTTTCTAGAGCTGCTTAATTGTCAATAAGCGCAGTGATTCTTCAAACTTCCGGTCCATTGTAATGAAATTGATTATTTCAGATTTAATTTTTGAAACTTTCATTTGTCGAAATTGCGGAGAAAAAAGTGCAAAAAAAAAAGAAAGTCAATAAAAATAATAATAATAAAAAAAATCACACGACCTAAATATATGATGAGTCACTTCGTGCATTAACTTTCAATAATAGTGCTCTAGAATATTAATTGAAAGCTTAGCTACTCTTTTTACCTTGGGTGACCAATATATTCGACAACTCAAAAATTTACATGAAAGCACAAGTAATCGCCAGCGGAGTTAGTGGGGGGGGGGGGGGGGGGGGGGGGGGGGTGGCTTTGACTTTCCCTCAGGAATTCGACCCCCTGTCGAACCAAAGGGTCCCCCCTTTGTACTATTTTCAGACATCCATTTTTGGTGACATGCCCTAAAATTTTCAAAAAGCCCCTTTTTGTCGCCAATATTTAATACTTTTGAGTGGAGCGCGCGCCGAAAATTTTTTTTTGCTCAAAATTTCCCTATAAGTACCTACAAACGCCTGTTTTGGACCGTTTTTTTTTTCAAAATTTTGCCTGCGGCGCAGCAAATTTGGTAAAAATGAGGCCTTTACAGTGATTTAGGAGAGCTCTCAGAAAGTCTATTTGGTCGACCTAAAAAAAGTCGACAAATTTTTCGAAATATTTTGAAAACCCGCACCCCCCCCCGCCCTGGAAAAAATCCTAGATCCACCCCTGCACGTAATGAGAAAACGCCTCTCAAATTAGAGCAATATTAGGCTCTTATACCGCTCCCCTCTGCAGTTTTTATATTATTTAATTTTGATCAACAGTCATAAAATTTGTGCTGAAAACTAATTGCATTATTATTAGAAACACGATTTGCCCCCTCATACAACACCGTAAAGTCAATGATTACACAGTAAAATTACTCTTCATATCTGGTGGAGGAAGCGGTAGAAGCCTTTTTGAAGGCGGAAGCCAGCTGATTTCAGTTCAACCAATGATTTCAACTCGATATTCACACTCACTTGCTTTCCCATGGCAACTGATGTCAGTCTCTCGGCTGGTGCCTTTGATTTTCCGATCTTTATTGCGCCTACCTCATTCTCAAATTCCTCGTCTTCCTCTTCATTATTCAACTCATCGAGTGATTCCATCTGGCTGGGTTCCGAATTGACCACTGTGCAACCTTTGTCGGTTTCGATAGATTCCTCTTCCACTGGAGTCTCCTTTTGGTCTCCGCAAGTAATCTCTGCGTTTGCTAACTCATCTCCCAGGTCGGCTGTTTCAATATTTTCCATTAATTCTGACTGCCTCAAAGTCGAAATGTTCACATCGTTGTCACCTTGCTTTGTTTTCTCACAGGAATCTTCCTTCGAACCCTCAGAAAGGTTATTTTGAGTGTCGACTTCAGCTTCTGCGCTGAACTTTGTTTGTTGCTCATCAGTTTTCTCTCCGGGTTTGAATCCTTTCAACCCATTTATATCGTCAATGTGATCACTAGCTTCAACTTTGTCTCCATCAACGCTTAAAGACATCGGCTGATGTTCCTCAACTAGGGCTCCAGAGTTATCTGATTCGTCAGTTGATTCACCGCCTTTCATTCCAACATCTGCTTTTTGCAGACTGACTTCCGAGTTCTCTTTGACCGCTTCTGTTCTTCCATGTCTATCCGGATCTAAGCCGCATTCGATTGTCAGACTAGGGTACAATTTTCGTCCTTGGTAGCTTTCATCATTGCTTTGCTCCTTGAAAGCATTGATTGTACACTTGATCTTGTCATTCAATTTGTCGCATGGAGAGGCGTTTTCGCCCCACAAGATATCATCGACCGAAAATCCATAGCGATCTTTGACATCAGTCCTCGCTCCTAGGCAGAGAAAATGCACATTAAAAAAAAATAAAACATAGCCAATAGACAATTAAAAAAGTCAAGGAACGCGAATTCGAAGAGAACCAATAAATGGCTTTCAAGCTGTTTGAATTTCGATAAAAATTTATGCTTGACAATTTTCTGATAAAGTTTTTATTTCGGTAAAGTTTTTATTTCGCTGGGAAATCTGGCAAATAAATCGATTACGTTTTTCGTGACTTTTACGTTTTCGCTGTTCGATAAGGGAATTTGCTTTGTTTTCACGCAAGTAAATGAACTAAACTTGACAAGAAATCAAAAATCGAACCGCGAAAAAGTACATGAGCCTAAACAAATTTTCTTGAAAAACAATCATTATCACGACACTTGGAAAAAGTCAGGGAACGCAAAGAAACAGAAAAAAGTACTTGATTTTTTTTTTAAAAAAAACTACATTTTTCGAATTTCAAACAAAAAATATATGAGCTTAAAATTTTTCGAAAACCAAGAGCAATTGATTACTGACTTTTTAAAATAAGAATTGAACTAATTTGAGAAAACTTGATTGTTAGGAAAAAATTTTATTCCGCTGGAAAATCTTAAAATTAATTTCCACTTTCGAAACTAGATATCGATCATAATTTCTTTTTTCTGCACCTTTTCAACTGTCCTAATTGTAGAGTGCATTTTGCCTACTTTCTAGCAATTGAACTTCAAATGTGCACATATACCTAACGGCATTCCTATGTGCATTTAAAAGTATTATTCTTTTGTTATTTGAGCATTTTTAAGACTTTCCCTAAAAAATGAACATGACTTATATAAGAGTCTGAATTATGTCCATCGACTCTTAAAAACATGGAACCTAATCAAATTTGAATTACCAAGAGTTATCATAATCGGAGCAATTTTTTCCTGGTAAACAACTTGTCTAAGAGAATCATAGACTTCGTAACCTGTTGGAAAAATCAACAAAATTTACAAAGAGATGCGAAGCATCGCGCTACACGCAATGAAACCCATTCGTAGCAGGACAAACTAACCGACAAAAACAAAGATGAAAACCGTAGAAAAAATCGAAAAATGATCTACCAAAAAATTTCCCAAATTTGTCTTGAATTAAATTTTCTGTCACAAATATGCCAAAAAAAAAATTGAATGATAAGCATTAAAAAAACTTATAAAGCGGTAACAAACTAAAAATTCTTGAGCAAACATACGTTGGGCCAAAAAGAAGTATTTTAACTGAAAAAACTTAAAAACCCAAAAAGTTTTACTAAACACTTCGATAAAAATTGTTTGCTCCTCAAACCTCTCAAAAAAGCCTTTAAGAAGATATATTATATGTCGAAACCTTTTAACCCGGATAAAAAAACGAAGACAAAAACTGATTTAGTGAAATCAGAGTTGGTAAATTCGCAACCAACATTAAAAAATATTCGAATAGAACGGCTGATATGCTCAAAAATTATCTGTTCTCCAATGTGGCGTTGGTTGAAAAAAAGAGATGAAAAAAATTTCAATCATCCTGTGAACGAAGTTATTCACGGGAAAAATTTAGGTACTTGATTGCAATACCCTCGCTTATTGCAAGGGTAATAAAACAAAACAGCTCGTATCAGTGCTCTTACAGATGTCAGCAGTAACTTTTTTCTAAATCTATAAAAATTCCAAAAAAAATAATATCAGTTTTGATAAAATTAATTTTGGGGTTTGCTGATATTTTTTCATATATTTTGTCAAGCTATGTCAAGAACTAAGTGATTCAGTAACAATTTATATGGAACTAGGTTTTAAAATTGAGCTCAATTTCAAATGGTAAAAAAATTCGGAAATCGAAAATAACAATGATAACAATTACAATTGTGGCTTCGGCGATTCGCAGAAGATCGATGAAAGGCTATCAAGCCTGTCAAAGGATCGTCCATTCCTATTTATTCGCACATTCAAGACTGAGGTATTTTGTTACGCAAAGCTCTTTTTTGCAACTCAAGGCTTTTTTTGCGAGGTATAGATTTCATACGAGCTATAAAAAGTTGCAGAAAGTTGGAACAGACAGTTGCCTCACAACAGCAAATTTTCTTTCTCAGAAAAATTTTGCACGCAAAAGCTAGTTTTTCAGACGAAAAGTATTTTTCAAAAAGCTAGTCTAATAACTACGAAATTGGTCTGTATAAAAAAAAACCAGATGCATATTCCAAAGCAAAACTAAAAAAAACCCAAGCAAAAATAAATCACCTTTTTCGAGAAGAAATTCAATTGTAGTTAGCTGTGCGAACTTGACTGCCCCATGCATTGCAGTACCCTCCATTCCCTGAAAAAATAATCGAATTACTGTCGACAACAATTTCAGGTTAAATCTACAATAACTCTCTTCAAATCAATGATTACAAACTCATGCGATAAACCACAACAAAATAATGAGGCATGCATAAAGAATGATTTGCTTACCAGTGTTTACAGATTCTAGTGCTAAAAATGATAAGTTTATTTTACTCGAGTCTAAAACTTAAAGCCCAAGAGAGCAAAATGATAATAAAAGATTTTATTTGTTGCTTTTACTTAAAAAGTCCAAAAAGGCATTTTCGCACGTTTTCTTAAAAAAAACACAAAGAGGTCTTTGCAGGCTTTTGGGATGGCTCGAAAAATCAGTTACTTTTATCTTAAAAAAAAGAAGAACCTCGCAACAAACCAAGATCCCCCCACGAATACACTTCTTCAGCTCAGTTCAGCGGCAGCTGTTGACCACTCGATGAGGAAAACATTTTATTTCATAATTCTTTGGTTATTTATTCCCGCTGATTTATTAACGCCAAAATCTCGCAAATATCATTATGAACCCACCACACGGTTGACGTCATATCCGAAATCGAGACACTGCTGCATAACAGACACTTTGCCCATCTGTGGAGCCACTTGCATTCCCAAGTCCATCATGGCCATGAAGTCTCCCTTGTCAGTCACCTTCCTATCGGCCAACTTCAGCAGCAGACACGACTGATCAGTTCGTCCACTGTCTCGCAGTGTTTTGAGAAAAGCCGTTTCTTTCTTGCTGTTTTCCGCTAATATATTCACGCCTAGCTATAACGAAATCATTTCGCTTCAAATAATGATTTGTTCATTGGCAATTTAAATGAAATACAGTCTAGTTAAACAAATTATGAACAGAAAAAAGCTCCAAATTATCTGAACACTAGAGGGGATATTTAGAGGGCAGTGGCCAAACCCCAGTGATGTAGAGGTCAAACTGAGGAGTGGCAATGTAGGCACCCCAATGACCTCTACTTTAACAAATTTTTCAAACATATACATAAGCAGTGGCGTGCCGAGGGGGGAGGGGGCGACTGGCATCCCTCAAATCTGGTTACAACACTTTTTAAAGGGTCCCCCTTTTGTTATAATTCTATGACATCCATTTTTCGCTGAACAAACAAAATTTTTTCTAAATTTTTCTTTGACAAGCCATTACGAGGCCAAACTGTGCACTGGATAGGAGCACAATTTTGCGTCTGTATGTTCCTGGATTCCAGAGACAAGTCTTAAAATATGTTCCAAAATGTAAGTGGATTACCACAAACAAAATTTCAGTGGATTCCGCATACATATACCTGTAACGTAAATTTTGTCGGCACATTTGCCTTTCTAGGTCAAAATTTTCTACAAAGAACCTAAAAACGCCTTTTTAGGCCCTGATTTTTGAAAAAAAGCTTGCGGCGCATAAAATTTGTCACAAAACAGGGTCTTTATACTATTTTAGGAAGGCTCCGAAAATCAAATTGGTCGACATAAAAAACACCAGGTCGACAAAATTTTTCGAAAAACCACACCCCTTGAAAAAATTCTTCGCACGCCATTGTACAATCAATTAATAACTTTATCTTATTTCTAGCAAAAGCAAGTTGTCAATATACTTTCGTCATCTTATTAATGTTTCTCAATATCTATCGTGTTATTCAACTAGGCCTCAATTTACCTCAACAAGCAGTTCTAAATCCACATCAGAACATCGATTCCCAGAGACAGCCAAATGAAGTAGCGTATCACGAGAAGGTGTCTAAAGCAAACATTCATGATTCACTTAACATATCATTTTTCCTATTTATATAAATACGATCACGTTTTTTGTGCCCTTCACCCTTTTGCTGTTCTATAGCGGAGTTTATCTTCATTTGAACTAAGAAAATAACTCAAAAGTCAAATCACGAAAGCGCAAATTTGAGCCAGAACCAATTTTGAGACTTAAAAAGTCATCACGACCTATATAAAAGTCTGAACTACGTTCATCGACTATTAAACAACGCATACAAAGTTACCCATACTTCTAAAGAGAACTGATGATTGGCGACCTCTGTTGGAATATGTGAAAAACTTGGAAAAACGTGAGAATGGCATTTGTCGAGTTTTTTTCTTGATGAATGCTTGAATAATGATATAATTCCCGACTTTCTCAAGTTCCGTGTTCCAAAAACTGATAATTTCTCTGAGCAAGCTGTGCTAAGTTTTCAGAAAAGACTACGGAAAAATGAGGTGAGAAAGGCGAAGCTAATTTGGTTCAACTACTGAAAAATTTTGATAAAAAAACATTTTATCAAAAAAGTTGATGAGAATGGCTGCAATCGGTAGTTTTCAATTTAAGTCAAAAACTCAGCACAATCTGTGTAACAAACAAAAACAAAATGAACGCTAAGTTGCCAAAATTGTCAAATTTCCAGGGAAAACCTCCACGAAAGACTGACACTTCGATAAAAACGTTAGATGATTCTAAATTGCCAATTTTTATTGAAGAGTTTCTTTCGTATGGTCCAAAACATCCGATTAAGGATAAGTTGAATGAAATTCATTTCCTAGCCGATACTGACAAATTAGTTAGAAACCTGCGTGAGAATGGAAGAGAGTGGTAAAAACTAGGTAAAATAGAAGCCTCGGCAAAGTGGTATGCAAAGAACATCAGAAAAACACCAACTGATAGTGCACTTTCAAGAGTGAAATATTTGCAAGAACGTTATGATAAAGGCAATGGATTTTTTTTTGTTTTATGAAAAAATAAACATATGACAGAAAACTATAAAAAATTTTATATCGTCAACAATTTCATAAAATCGAAAATGGCACTGATAGTTTGATCTTGAAAGAAAAAAATATATATCAATAACACACTATTCGAAATGAAAAAACAAGAACTCATTAGTGATAAAATTAATTCAAAACTCAGAACTACCAGAGCTGAGCCCGCTAGGTTATACGGTTTGAATTAAGTACATAAGAGTGAAATACCACTCCATCCGGTTCTATCAATTCCTGGCAGTAGTTATCATAAGCTGAACAAATTTTTGACCTATTTTGAAAAGGTCCCTGGTGCAAACATTGAAACATCTAGGTTAGACGATCGAAAAAAAACTCGTCGAAAAAAACGAATAAATTGTTTCATTAGACGTTAAGAGTTTGTACACAAACGTTTTCGTATCGGATGCAATTGATATTGCCTTAAAATTGTATACAACTGATTACGCACCAGATATTGAACGTTCAACTCTTAAACTGCAGCTTAAGTTAGCCGTGACAAATAATTATTTCAAAAGCAATGGAAAATGGTATTGCCAGAAGGATGGGTTAGCCATGGGTGCATCCCTCGCAGTAATTTTGGCTAACATTTGGATGCAATCTTTCGAAGGAGTAATTAAAGATGAAAAAGATGGCATAACGCAAATACCAAAAATGCATCTGAAAAAAGTCCGAAATTCAGCAAAAAATTTATTTGGAACAGTAAAGGTGTTGAATGTGAAAAATGTGAAAACTGATTTTATGCTAAGTGTCCAAACATCAGTAAAGACGAAAACCAAAAAATGGGTAATATAGTATGGTACTGTGAATTCTGTCGTTATTTACCAGACATTTCAACTTGTAGTAATGAAAGAAAACTGTTCGAAGATACCTAGACGACATACCTGAAACCGTAACTCATTAGGGTGATCTTGTTGCATAAGAACTTACAATTTACTAAAGAAAAAGAGAAAATACTGCAGAGAAAGGTGAACTTGCTTTTTTGGATATGAGTATTGTAGTAAATCAACAAATGGAGATCACACGCAAATGGTATCAAAAATCGACTACTAATGAAACTACTTTGAACTTTCATAGCTGCGCACCACTCCAGCACAAGAAGAACATTGTAGAAGGAACAATACATAGGTTGTTTCGATATACCAGTAACTGGAACATATTTGACGAAGCGTTAAAAACCAACGAGGGAAATTGGAATGAAAACAGTACCCAGAATCCTGGCCATCAAAAACTGTAAATAGTACATTGGAACAAAATCATAAACGAAACATCAAAAACTTCACAGAAAGCTAAAACTGAATGCAGTCGCGAAAAAATTGACAAACCGATGTTTTTTCTACAATATCAAGGAAACTTGAGTTTGAAATTGAAAGACCGGTGTTGGTCAATTTCACAACGCGCAAAATGAAAACTTGCCTGCCGTCGCTTAAGTCAACTTATGAAATAAAATGTAGTGGATGTAGTTCCACCTATATCGGACAAACGAGCCGACAAGGATAACAGAGCATCAAAAGAAGGATTCGCCAGTAGGACAGCATATCGCAGAATGCTGTGGACAATTAAAGCATTTGATGGCGATTAATTGACAAAAGCAGTGACATTGATAAATTAATAACATTGGAGGCCCTCCATATAAGTAAACGCAAGCCGCAACTGAACACGCGCGACAAGTGCAGGAGCCGAGAGCTCACACTAAAATATTAGTCTGACATGAGGCAGTTCGGCTTGATTGGAATTTTATTTTTTCGAATTAAAACAAACAAAATGAGTAAAATATCTCAAGTTAACCTTAGAACTAATTTCAAAAAAGGTGAGAAATTTGGGGGAAAAAATCGGACATGTGTTGGAGATGAAATATCACCAAAAACGAAATTCCAAAAAATCGTTTTAATAATTATGTATTATGCTTAGACGCTCATAAACTTTAATATTAATCATTTTGATTGTAAAAATCTTTTTAACTGTAAATACTTTCACTTTTAGTTGGACATACCTGACGATGCTAGTTATAGCGAAAACGTTCGTATTTTAATTAAAATTTTATGGACTTATAACTATTTCACACAAGCGCATACAAAAATGAACGTTTAAAAATGAAGGAGGTATCTACTGACCATAGAAGTGATTTGGTCCGGATAGCTATCCAGCAGGAATTTCATAATTTCACTGTGTGCCAACTCACAGGCCACGTGGACGGGGAGGAAGCCGTCGTTGTCCTTCACATATGGATTCACGCCATTCTTGATTAGAAGCTCCATCATATCTCTACAGTTAAAATACAGTGAAAAATCATTCAAGGCATCAAACGCTCTAAAATTTTCAAACTGTATTCGATTTGTCTATCCACTATCTGTAACCTTAGATTTTGAAACTCTGAAGTAGCAACCTGGTTGATTTATTATATCATATTCAAGAAAAATCTTTTCAAATTGATATTTTCTCACTTTGATCCGGTAGATGCCGCGACATGTAATGCCGTCTTCCCATACTTGTCTCGGAAATTTACATCAGAGGGTTCACTGCTAAAACCAAAAGCTTTCTCTTCAAATAAATTCTTGGAGATCCATCTTCCGTGAAGAAAAGACCTTATAGACACTTATATACGAATCGCATACGTCCATGTCTACACAATTTCATTTATGTTCAGCTTATAGCTAAACAATTGTTTTTGTTTGGAACAATAGAATTAAATCAGACTAACCACTCTATAAAAAGTGTTTACATTCCAGCTTAGTCACAAAATTCTTGGAATCAATTGCTCGTGGGAAGATAGTTCAATTAATCAGTATTCCTTACTGGATACCATTAGTAGAAAAAAACTTGGAATTAAGGGGATGGGCTTGTAATTTGAATCAAGTATATAATTAACCGTTTAGATTTTTTCTTTAATGTGGCCAAGAGGTCTGAAGTTCCTCTGAAATCATCCTTCTTCACTGCAAGCAGCAGCTTTTTTTCGTCGTTAGAGAGATTCTTTTCATTACCCATCTGCAATTTTTTCACTTAAATCTAAATATGTTCACTGATAAAATCAATTTCACAAAAAAAAACATTTCTCAGTTAATAACTCGAGTTCAATAAAAAAATCCATTTTCGTCAGCCAGATATTGCACATTAAGACAAGTAGTCAACATCAACGAGATAATATCAATCATTTCACAATCAATATTTCCAACAGCCCATCATCATCTGCAGAACTCAGAATTTGAACCGCATTCCATCACTCAACGTCAAAAGTTAATAACACAAACTTGGAAGCATGACTTTGTAAGCAGCTTTCTTAAAATAAATAAATATTTGAATGTCATCCAATGTTTTTCTCTAAGCATTGTTGCCTCCGACGACCTCTGTGGCCATTTGTTGCTGTTGTGTTTGGGGTGGACCCGTAGCATTTGGATGGGAAAGAGGTCTTCTAAATAATAAAACATGTGGCTCAGGCATATGATGTGCATAATGCACCCACCCCGGACTCATTTGAACTCCAATTCGTCTCCATTCGGTTTCACTGAACAGTTTGTTCTTCGGCAGTTCACAGGCTATGCTCTTCGGTAGAATGACGTGCCGATACTCGTAATTAGCATCGTAGTATTTCTCCGAGTAGTAAATCTCCTTCATTTTCGCAATTTCATCTGAAATACGATCAAAATAATTTCAATTTCAACGGAAGAAACGGCTCAAAACCAATTCTACTTAAATTTTAGGTAATCATAGTTTATAAAAACATTGTTTCTACTTCGACAAGTAAAAGCAAATTCTTTTTATAAAATCATAATCGAGCAAACTGCCATTATTAAAATGATCAACTATATTAATCATGTTGTTCTATAGATATATAAATAACAATTTAGAAGGTAAACGCTGATATGAGATGCGATAGAATAGCAAAGACTATTAAGAGAATGTCACCGAGAAAGCCTTATCGAGAATTTTGTTCTGAAATTCGAAATACTTTGATACACCACAATAAGGGAAGCCCTGATTTTTTTTTGCGCCAAAACAAACGAAAACAATTTTAAAAATACAGAATTAGGCGCAAAAATGACAAATTCGGATAAATATTTTTCGATAAAGGGAGAGTGGACGAGGAGAAAATTTCAATTGGAATTTCAATTCTACACAAAATAAGATTCCAAAGAAATGTACTGCATGGAGTGATATAACAAATTTAAGCTACTTCAGATGTGATGAGTTGAAATAAGAAAAAATTTTGGTTTTCTTTTGATCGGCCACTTTTCGACTGCCATTTTTAAAAGGATCTCTGGTGCGGATAGAAAAAAAATGGCAGCCAATTGAATGAGCGCACATATTTGAACTGAAAAAGTTAGGAAGAAACTACGGCATATGAGTTTAAATCTTCTTTTTTTTCATGTCACGCCTTCTTGTGTCTGCAGCGCACAAAAACTTTCCACAAACCTCAGCCAAAAATAATTAACTCGGAAAAAGTTCAGTCAGAGATTTCAATGTAATAAATCACTCGGTTGCGACTGGGGCAGTCTAAATTTAATAATGGCAGTCAATTAAAGTAGGCAAAATTACACAAGCAAAAACAAAAATCATATTTTTTTTTTCAAATTTTTGACAATTTTGAAGAGTGTGAAGAGAGGTCGGCGAGAAACCCTTCAGATAAGACTAGCTTTACAAACGAAACTAACTCGAAAAAAAAATACATTTCTAGCAGTCGCAAAACGTTTCACATTGATATTCCAAAAACGTTCAATTGTGAACTGCGTAACTTAAAACGGCAAACGTCTATCAGACGTAGAACTATTCAGACGATCAACATCAACATGGAAAGTCAAACTCGAGCAACTATTCTGGAAAAACAGCAAAAAATATCAAAAATAAATATTTTTCAGTTTTTTCACAGTGCAGACGTTTCTTAGCATTAGCCTAAGAATTACATAGAGGAAAAGCAGAGCTTGGTATCACGATATATCACAAGCACAGCATGGCGTGCTAGCTGAAAAAAGGAACCGGAAGCCAGCGTCGCAAAATCTTTAAATTTTGAAAAATGATGAAAGAACTATCTACGATCAAACTTCGCGTCAAACTTACCAAGTCGAAAACACCTGAACAGAAACTCATATAGAATTTTTTCTCAAAATATCAGAATTAATACAGAAATTTAAATCCCCTTCCCCTAAGAACACACACGCACACAAAAACTCTTGCGCTCATCAAACTTGACGCAATAAGAGACTAAGCAAAAAGCCGGTAAAAAATAAGCCTAAACTTATTCAGCCGAAAAAAAAATAAAACGGCAAATTTAGCAATGCGAGTTAGTAAAAGTTCATCCAAAGTTAATGCAAAATTAGAAAAGATTGCATATTCAAAATGCTATAACATAGCCAATCGAAGGTTGGAAAAGAGTAAATTACGCAAGTAAACAAAAAAACACTGACTTTCTTGAAAAATTCTCAGCTTTCGAATTTCAGAGAAAAAAAAGATGCCCTTTAAGCTCTTTTAATTTCTAGAACAATTTATGATTGGCGCTTATTTGAATAAAAGAACCCAACTTGAGAAAACTGGATCAGAGGGTAGTTTTTATTCCGCTGGGAAATCTTAAAAATAAATTCCAATCCGAAACTAGAAATCGTTCACAATTTTTTCGCGCCATTTCCAAGTTCGTATTTGGAGAGTGCTATTTACGTCACTTTTAGCAGATGAATTTCAATTGAACTCAAAAAGTGATTATACCTAATTGCATCAATTTTTAAGAATTTTCACTGAAAAAAAAAAACAAAAATCAGCGAGACCTATATGAGAGTCTTCACTACGTTCATTACTCTTAAAAACTCAAAATATGAGTGTTGCAACAGAAAGGCCCAGTAGATGCAAGCGTCCAAGATCCAAATGTGTACTGTGAATACTGTGAATGAAGTTATTTTCGGGAAAAAGTCTTGTATCCAATCGCAATACCCTTGTTGATCGCAAAGGCAAAGGTAAAGAAACGTGTCGCGAGGGAAAAGTCTGCTTTAATATAAAATAAAAATGCCTGTCTTGACCATTCCAAAAATTAGGAAAACGGTAAATAAGCCGACGATACTTGAGTAGACGACCGTTGCACCAAAAAATATCCTCGAAGCTATGAAACCAACCTCAACATTAAAAGATATCCTCGAAGCTATGAAAACTATCTCAGCATGAAAATAAATTTCTTGCTCAATAAATGAAGCACTATTACGCTGAAAAGCCGATAAAACATACGCCAAGCCGATTGGACCGAACAAACCTTTAAATTAAAAAAAAATGAAATAAAACCATAACGGATTTGAAAACTTCTCTTGGACTTAATTTCCTAGAGAAGACTGCAGGAGAGGAGTCCTGTGAACAAAGTTGTTCATGGAGGAAAAGTCATGTTTACGATTGCAAGACATTTGTTCTTACAAGGGTCATTCTAAAAGAACTAAAATTAGCCTAATAAAGAAAAATATCACAAACGATTTTAAACTTATAAAACTTCAAATCTCAAACCAAGCCAACACAGTTGGGAACTAATCAATGAACCAAAAATCACTGGTTGGTTTTTTTTAAATTGGTTAACTTTCAACATTCTGAGAAAAATTTATAATACATTAAGGATCTTCCAACTCAGAAATCTTCCGTGGAATGCAATTTTACGTAGAATTAAACCAATCAAAGATAATTGTGTCAATAAAACAAGACAACTCTTTAAGTCCTTTTTTGAAACTAAAACCCATTCTTGATTTTTTGTTCATTGACACTGTTGTTTTTGTAAAGAGCAAGATACCTTTCTTTGAGCAAATGAAGTCATTTGAACCTAAAAGGATATCTTTTAAACATAGCTTTTAAACATACATACAAATTAATAATTTATGCTACATATTCAATATGCAGTAAAAAAAGCTTTTTTAATTTCCAGAATCTTAAATGATTAATTTCGATTTTAATAAAGCTGTCCCAACTTGAGGAAACTGGATCAAAAGGAAATTTTCTTGTTCCGCTGGACCTTTTAAAATTACAATCACTTTAAACAAAAAAAGTCAAGCCAATTTTTTTGCCATATGCACGTTTTTTTACTGTAGAAAGTAATTCTTCCTCCACTTAGCATAATTATTTCAGGTGAACATAAAACAAACATAGCCAACAGAAAGTTGGAAAAAATCAATAAAAGAGAAAAAATAGAATTTGACATGTTTTGTGAAAAACTTTAACTTTCAAAAAACAATGAAACATTTATTGCCTTTAAGCACTTAGAACTTCTAGGCAATTTATTGTCGACAATTATTTGATAAAACTAACCACATTTTATAAAACTGGATCAATAGGTAAACTTTTTAAATTTCAAACTTGATGTTTTTGCGACCTTTGCTGTTCGACAGTGGAGCTTTCCTTCCTTTTTACAAAGGCGATGAACTGAACTTAAAAAGAAAGCATAAGTCAAACCGCGAAAAACCGCGAGCCTGAACAAATTTTCCTGAAACAAAATGAAAAAAAATCATCGCGACCTATATAAGAGTTGGAACTACGTTCATCGACTTTTTTTATTAGAAAACATAAATAACATTGTAAGTTAAATAGTGGTTAATTATCTGAGCTGGGTAATGTTGCCTCGCCCGCGCAAATTGGCCCCAGAAACAACATAGTAATTCTGATGTTTTACATTAGTCCACTTATAAATTCGACCATAAAAGAAAATTCCATCCGATCAAATGCTGTTTTATATAAAAACTCTACATCAAATTAGTGATTCCAATCACCGCAATAAAAGCAGTTAATCAGTCCAGAGAAACCTTTAAAAAAGCTCAAGGTGCACTCATTACATCAATTATTCAGAAAACACAAAAGAAAATTTCATATCAGACATTTTTGCCAATCTTTCACTACATTTTACCATATCCTGTTGGTTGAAAAAAAAATTTTGAACTTTGTCAGATTAAAAACCATTTAAACTGGCAGGTTGCAATCTGCCTCAAGTCAGCAGATTCTACCATTATTGGCGAAATTTTCACACATTTTCGAACAACAAAAGCTCTTTAGTTGATGAAAACAACTTTTCATTTTTATCATAAAGCCGCGTAAACTATGAGAGTAACTGCTGATTTTAAATCAATAGACTTTTAAGCCACGCATACACAAATTCTATTAAGTATAAGCCAGAAAAAACATGTTTTTACCAACAGATTTTCAATGAATCTGCTTCAATTCAGTCAGCCATCAACGTAATGTGCTCGCTCTAGATATCAACTAATATCCAAAACTACTTGTTCAATAGCTGGTTAGAATTTTACTCCGAGTTGTTGAATTTTTGAAATGGCCAAAAAACTAGTGAACACCCGAAATCACAACCGGGATTATTTCGTATTTTCTCTTATTCCTGTGGCATTCGCAGTTTTGGGTTTCATTCACTGGCAAAATGTCAACAGAAAGTTGGGAGAGAAGAATCATCAAAATGAGTCATCTGGGCCTCCCATTGACTACTCCTTGCTTGATAAGTCAATCTGCCTGTTCAAAACAGTAAGTAAATCATATCCCCAAAAACAATATCATCTTTGTCCTCCCAAAAATTCCGAGCTCTTTAAATAAAAAACAGTGATTACCGATAGAAAGTATTATGCTTTAGAAAAATTCTCATTAACTCACACAAAGTTCTGCGTTAAATTTTCTTCATTCCAATTAACATCTCTTTGAATTAAGTCTAAACACAATCCCTAACAAAAATCTTACTCCTAAAGATGGATCATGGATCTTTTCAGAGCTCTCATATCTTATTCAGTGGTTTATCTTTCAAAAAAAATAATTTTGAAAGAGCCAGCCAGTTACAATCTTTAGAGTTTCAATAATTTGAATGTTGTTTTGGCCCACTATTGAAGAGGTCAAAGATTCTTTGAGCAGCCATTTCGCAAACTTGTCGTCTTTTCTGTTTCAGCAATACTGCGAGGCTCCCGAGAAGTACAGACGACTGGTGGACTGTTTCCACTCAGAGGATATCAAAGTGTATTATTTGAAGAACCAAAGCAGCTGTGTCGACTGCATGCTCACCCCTGGATTCCTATTCCCCACAGACGCCGAGGACACTTCCAAAGTTAGCATCTCGAATTACCTGACGCTCTGATAAGCATTTTCTCATTTTTCAACTTCAGATTTCCTGTTATTTCCAGTTGAGCCAAAATGCCTTTCACTAATAAAACCAACTTTCACAAAAACTAGTGAACTTAAGCCGGAATAGAAAACCTGAACCCGAAGTAAAGTGTGTTGAAACCAAGAAAGCTTATCAGCCTCGTTATTTTTACTGTAGATTGTGAAATGCTTGGCCAACACAGTGCCCCGAGTTCCCTTTCGGGTGAGATCAGGAGCACATAGTTTCAGTGGCACTTCTTTCATCCAAGAGGGGTTTATAGTCGATATGAAGCGACTGGGACGCATTTCTGTCAAACCAAAGAAAAAGGAAGTGACCGTGGGAGTGGGCAACAGAGTGGGAGAAATTTACAAGGCTCTAGAGAAACATAACCTGCTCATGATTGGAGGCAAGCATAAACAACCATTTTGATATTTAAGCTACATCCATTTCATTCCCAAAATGGTAAAAAAAAAACCATCAGCTCTAAATGATCATAACGCTCTTCATCAATAATGATCAACACAGAGGCGATCTTGGCTTTGAAAACTAGCGATAAGAAACTGATACGGACACTTTTTCCTGAAATTGGAAATCAGTCGGAACTATATTTCCAACAATTTTTTCAGATGAAATTTTTTTCTAATTAATTTTCATTTTCAAGAAAACATAGTCAAGAAAACATAACCCATTCAGTATTATTTACCGAGTGGCCATTTGGCCGACAGTTTTTTCGTAGACTGAGATGAACTGATCGCAAAAAAGGCATGAACAATTATTGTTGTCATAAAAACTTTTCAACTAATGAGTTTTAAAATTCGAGGACTCCCCGCTTTTCTACACGACAACCCTCCCAATATATTTAAAAGCTTTTAAATATATTTTTGCTCATCAATCGACGAAATATAAGAAAGATGACTGAGGCAAATTTAATAAACCGGAGCCAATTTAAGCAACACAAAAGAAAAAGGAACTTGTTCAAAAGAGTTGGTAAATTTACAAATAACAGGACTTGCAAACTTTTCATGCTTTGGAACTTAAGCCGACTAAAAAATTCAGCAGAAAAACAATACTCAAGGACTATCAAGCAGAAAAACAATTAAGCACACGAACATTTATTATGACTATTAAGTAGACAAATCAAGCAGAAAAATGACTATTCAATTTTTCCCAAAAAAAAACAATTCATTCAATTCATACGTATCTAATTAAGAACAAGGAGAGCCGGTTGCTGGGCAAGTAGCACAAAATGTTCCGACCATATTCATAAAAACTACAAATGAAAGTTCTCCAACTTATTAAGTTCTTCAAATAAGTGTCGTTTTTAATACGTGGTGGCATGAGAAAACTATACTCCGCCTGAAAAGTTAGTAAATTAAGCAACAACGAAAAACGGTTGTCTTCAAAAAATGAACGAACGAACTTGAAAGAAAAAAACTTTTAAAAATTTTGAATAATATTTTTTAAAGATTTAATTCGGAACTTTTCTTTTAGCCTATATGACCTATTTAAAAAGTTATCATCACTTTATTCGTTCGAATTTAGACGCAAACGGAAAAAAAACTCCAAACCGGTTTTTCTCGACACTGGGATTTTTTGGAAATTTTTTTAATGTCTTTCAAATCACGACTGAAAGGGTTTTAATATGATATATCGCTCAATCCAGTCCGATGATTAATTGTGGTACCTGTGATTGAGTGGAAAACAAAAAAAAATAAAACACAACCGAATACTAAAATCCTCACCAATTTTCAAGTAGCACAGAATTTTCAGAATCTGAACGAAAAATTAGAATTTAGGCGTATTCGACAGTCATAGTAAATAAGGTCAATTGAAAAATAGTTTGTGTAGAAAAAGGAATAAAAAACTTGAAAAGTTTCATATTTTTTTGCACAAATTATTTCAACTTTTAAAATTTTTTATTCCAAAATGGCGCTAGAAAACTCAAAAACTAACTGTAATCCAGTAAAACTAAATTTTCACGGATTAAATTGAGCATACATCAGCTATTGTATTTCAAACCCCATTTTGCTCGACAAAAAAAAAATTTAAAACTTTTTTAATGTCGTTCGAATCACGACTGAAAGGGCTTCAATTTGGTATATCACTCGACTCATTCCGATGATTAATTGTGGTACCTGAGATTGAGTGGAAAACAAAAACTAAAACACACCCGAATACAAAATTCCTCCCTATTTTTCAAATGGTCGGAACAACAAGGTCTAGCTGCGATTCGAACTCGAAGCCTTAAGTTCAAAAGCACGCGCTTGCGCTTTACCAAATGGGAATGAACTGAGATGGTTGAGGTCTGATAATAGAACCAGTCCTATTTCTTTAAGATTTCTTAAAGGGGTGGTCTCGCAAGTGAAAAGAATAACGCCATGTTACTATAACTAAAAAAAGTGATCGCTCTTCTAAGCACTAATCAACAAATGTTCCGACCATATTCATAAAAACTACAAATGAAAGTTCTCCAACTTATTAAGTTCTTCAAATAAGTGTCGTTTTTAATACGTGGTGGCATGAGAAAACTATACTCCGCCTGAAAAGTTAGTAAAATAAGCAACAACGAAAAACGTGTCTTCAAAAAATGAACGAACGAACTTGAAAGAAAAAACTTTTTAAAATTTTGAATAATATTTTTTAAAGATTTAATTCGGAACTTTTTTTTTAGCCTATATGACCTATTTAATAAGTTATCATCACTTTATTCGTTCGAATTTAGACGAAAAAGAAAAAAACTCCAAACCGGTTTTTCTCGACACTGGGATTTTTTGGAAATTTTTTTAATGTCTTTCAAATCACGACTGAAAGGGTTTTAATATGATATATCGCTCAATCCAGTCCGATGATTAATTGTGGTACCTGTGATTGAGTGGAAAACAAAAAAAAATATAACACAACCGAATACTAAAATCCTCACCAATTTTCAAGTAGCACAGAATGTTCAGAATCTGAACGAAAAATTAGAATTTAGGCGTATTCGACAGTCATAGTAAATAAGGTCAATTGAAAAATAGTTTGTGTAGAAAAAGGAATAAAAAACTTGAAAAGTTTCATATTTTTTTGCACAAATTATTTCAACTTTTAAAATTTTTTATTCCAAAATGGCGCTAGAAAACTCAAAAACTAACTGTAATCCAGTAAAACTAAATTTTCACGGATTAAATTGAGCATACATCAGCTATTGTATTTCAAACCCCATTTTGCTCGACAAAAAAAATTTAAAACTTTTTTTAATGTCGTTCGAATCACGACTGAAAGGGCTTCAATTTGGTATATCACTCGACTCATTCCGATGATTAATTGTGGTACCTGAGATTGAGTGGAAAACAAAAACTAAAACACACCCGAATACAAATTCCTCCCTATATTCCAAATGGTCGGAACAACAAGGTCTAGCGGCGATTCGAACTCGAAGCCTTAAGTTCAAAAGCACGCGCTTGCGCTTTACCAAATGGGAATGAACTGAGATGGTTGAGGTCTGATAATAAAACCAGTCCTATTTCTTACAGATTTCTTAAAGGGGTGGTCTCGCAAGTGAAAAGAATAACGCCATGTTACTATAACTAAAAAAAGTGATCGCTCTTCTAAGCACTAATCAACAAATTGGACAGCTTTTTTGTATATTTCGAGTGAATCCGGGTAATTAACTTCAAAAATTTGATGTTTTAGGAGACTGTCCAGACGTGGGTATCGGGGGACTATCGTCTACCGGAGGAACTGGTTTCACCACTCGCAAATACGGTATCTTAATAAACAGCATACTCAACTACCAGATCGTATTAGCCACAGGAGAAATTGTCAATGCATCTTACACTGAGAACCGAGACTTGTTCGACGTCTTGAGAGGCGGCGGGGCCTCTTCCTTTGGAATCCTGACCCAAGTGACCATGAAGTTAGCTCCTCTTGAACCCCAGTATGGACTCATTCGTATCAAAATAGACAAAAAAGGCATGGGCGAATGGATAAAATACTTCTTGTCTATTTCGAAGACCTTCAGTGAGGATGTTATGTATTTATACACGTACTTATTCGCAGACATCGTTATGATCCAAGGAGCTATCACAGGAGACTCTTTCGCTAGTGAGAGCAAACAGAGAGACTTGATTCAAGAACTCATTGGCAAAGCTCGAAATCGATCAATTACAATAATCGACGGCAATGTCTACAAAATTCCATATACTGATTTGTACAAATACACTTATGGCAAAGAGAGCTTTGTAAAAGCAACATCTCCAAAGAGCACTTGGATGCGCGATTTCAGACAAGAAGAAAACAGCAAAAGCGTTGGTATAATGAGTGGCTATATTTGCACGGACGACATTCCATTGGAGGTTTTCGAACACCTGGAAGAGCACTACTACAACCCAGAATACAGGGCGCACCTCGAACATAGTGACCTCGGAACAAATATAGAGCTATTTGGAGGCAAAGAGTTTCCTGACGAGGCTCATGGAATCTATGCAGGAAAAGGATGTAATGGGATTGTCACTACATATCCCAAGTTCACAAATAATATGTGGAAAAATGATCTGATTCAGAGGTACCTGACTGGATTCTGGAACATTTTGCGGCCATACACCAACTACTCGTACCGTGGTTACGAGGATCTTTCAAACGGAAGAACTGACCAACGCGGTCATGTAGGACTAATGGACTTACACTTTGCGGACAAGAAATATCAGGCGATGGAAGCGAAGACAAAGTATGATCCCATGAATGTTTTTAAGAACCAGATATCCATTCCAACTCTTGACTGCTATGAAAAGAACATTTGTCTCTAAAAAAGACTAAAATGACATATTATTGAAAAGAATATTTATATTGATCAAATACATTCTAATGTCACGTAAATATAGATAAATCAGGTTCTATATACAATGCAAGGAATTCTATTGAACAACCGCATGAAAAAGCATATCTTTTCGTAAAAAAAAACGGATCTTTTCAATTTTTCCAAAAAGAAGTGTGAAAGTGTTTGCCAGTTGAAAGTGTTTTCAAACGTACAAGTGTCAGTCAAATATTTATTCTCTTTTTTTTGGGAGGTAATCAGAAGGTCCAAAGTATCATAGTAACCGAGGTTACAGTCAGGAGTCCCTTCATCACGTATTCCAGTCAGAATCCTTGGAATTTTCTAGATATGGAAGTGATAATGATAAAAGTAGATGACAAGTGTTTAAGTCTTTTTCAATTAAAATCGATACGGGTTACGTTTCTTCAAAAAGAACACGCAACTCGACGCGACAAAATATAATATACAAGTGTTACAAATAAAAAATTTCGTCGAAAGTTATTTTGTCATTTATTGTTCCGAGTACGCAAGCCGCGTTCGCAATCTGTATTGCCAGGGAGATTCTCTGTTTTAAAAAGCTGCCTGCTCTGGGTTCCTCAGTGCATATGCTTAGGTTCTTACAAAGCTTGCTGAAAAAAAATTTCTGTGCTGGGGCCGGCCGCGCCCTGAATTTCAAAAGCTAGCGGTTGGAAAAGATATCCATCATTTACAAGATCTTTATACTTGTCAATTTTTCGCTCTTCCGCTTCAGCGGCAGCCGTACCAGGGTTATAAACAGACCCGGCATTAATCCTACAAGGAGCCTACTACCGTTACATCCCACAAGAGCTGCTTACCAACAGCCCATGGAACGAGCGTCAAACCGTCTGGTCGCTTCTGATCGGTCCTGTAGAGGTGTCGTGGTTCTAAAACAGACGGAATGTGAGTAGAAGATAAACTCTGCTTTATAAGGGCATTCAGGTTTGAATGCCTAGAGAATCTTCCTGCACTTTTGAGGCAAGAAAGACCATGCCAACCATCCTTGGTATCGTCTTTTCCGCAAACGCATTTATGCCGTTCGCATATTTTCGAGCCTAATCGAAGTCCTACCGCAATTCTGAGTTGTTGATTCGACAGTTTTAACCTTAAATTTTTGCATGGGATGACGTTCAACCATTCGGAGCCAAATCTATCTTGGAACGCGTTGAATCTTTTTAAGTCCGTTGGTTCGAGTCGTAAAATCAAGTCTGCAATTTCGCTGTCAAAAATTGGCTCCGTCCAATTTTTTGGATTTCATTTTCCAGAGCCATTTCAATTTTTCCAAGTTCAAACCAACGTTTAAGCGCATCATAATAGGTTCCATCCACATGCTCCAAACCAAAGATTTCGCTCAAGGCATCTTTTGCTCCTACTGCTGAGGCTAAGAAAGCGGGTAAAGCGAGTAGAAGAGTGGAAGAAACGCCCAAGCCACCTTTGGCTGCCGGGAGAACTGCTTGTAAAAACTTGTTATCATCCATTTTCACGTTAGTGACCTTGCATAACGAATTTCTTAGTAATTTGTCGTAGCGTTCCAAAAAATCCTTTTGCAAAAAACAAGGACTCGTACGCAAAAACTATAGGAGTTTTGGCATGCTAAAGCAATTTTTCAGGAGGTAAAAACCATAATGGGCGTCTAGTTTGTCAATGACATCCGAGATTTTTTCAAGCTCCTCAATTTTTTCGTCGAGCAATTCTTTTCGGCAAAGTTCGCCGATTGGAGATCCTAAAATGAGAAGTTCTTCTTTTGTTTTTATTTTGGGGCATATTTTTCGAAATTGTGTTAGTCAAATTATGTTTATAATGATATTAATTGTCAAATACTGAAAAACTTTAAAATACAAATTAAAAGCATTTAATTGATAGTACCGCAATCTAAAGGAAATTTTACTGAATTTGAAATGTACGAAATAAATCTTAAAAAATGTTTTTGCTTTTCTGTACGTAAGGATATTCTTGAAATTGATATTGTTATCATGCAACCTGTTCCAAATTGTTACCGATTTTTTGAAAAACGGTTTTTCAATGTGATGCCAGGGGAGAGACCTTTTACTAGACCGACCTTTTACCACAAAACTGACATGGACCTTTTACCAGCCTCAATAAATAGATTTGATTGACAGATGTAGTGACGCCGTTTAGTCTGGTTAAAGTCAATAGATTCACCGTTTCTCAGCGAAGTTTTGTTGGTTCTAACTGCTTCCTTTTTGAATCGTCCACTAATTTAATTAAATCTTAAGGAATTATTGCATTGTAGTCTGGAAAAAAGTCTGTCTGGTGAACGTTCGGTCTGGTAAAAGACTAAGCTCCGTATTCCCTATTCAATCTTTCGACAAAACACAATTTTTAATTCTTGTGTTCATGTTTATGTCATTGTTTTTATGTTGTTTTATGTTACTGGTAATACTTTGTGTTTTTACTTAAGATCGGACAATGAAGCGAACAATGAGTGCGTTCATGAGTGATCACCTTCTTTGATAGGAAAGGGTTTTTCGATCGACTGTAAAGTTTTATTCCCGCAGGCCCTTTTCTTAGGACCATTTTCACTTCGTCCATGTCACCAACTGGTCTAACAAAATTAGTAGCAAAAAGTTCGGACAGACAGAATTAATTAAAATGAGCAATACGCTTTTCGACATTTTTTGCATGCAAAATCTGAAGCCGAACAACCTTGATTTTTTTGTCAGACCAAATTCAAAGTACAAAATCTGAAGCTGAACAACATTGAATTTTTTGTCAGACCAAATTCAAAGTGCGATATCGTCGATTATCCGATAATTATGCTAGCCTTATTTCTATATACTACGATGAACATCCAGATTTTACTATAAAACAGTTCGACGCTTCGGATGCAAACGCCTACCGTGGTTTTAGGTTTTGAGCAAACTAATTAACAATCTCCCTTTTCTTGATAGTGGCAATTGTTGAGTAGATCCCGAATCTCTGCTGTATGATATTTCGATGTTATGTTTATTTCAGTTTTAATTTCCGTTGATGTCTAGACAGTTGCTTTTTTTAACTCATTTTGTCTGTCCGAACTTTTTGCAACTCTCTATATTACCCCGAGATGTTTCATTTTGATTTTTTGTTAATTAAAATTTTTGTCCAAATCGTTTCTGTATTTTTTCATCTTTTCTAACATGTTTTCTACTGAAGATGATAAGTTCTGTTTTTAGCATTCAGTTGGTGTAAGTGTCTCCGAAAGTACTTTGATAAAATATTGCAAGTTCTCTTATTCAGCTCATTAAAGCTCATTTCTATTCAGCTCATAGCTCATTAAAGCGCATTTTTTATTCAGCTCATATATCGAAGTTATAGTGGTCAGAAATTGCATCGAAGTTAACCATGGTAACCAAGTTACATCACTCGTCCTTCATATTATAGTCCAGCCAAAAACCCTCGGAATTTTATAGATCAAAGAAAAAACAAAATGATACAAGGAGGTTAGATGCTACTACAAACAGGGAATACTTTTACACTTTTGAGCTTAAAAACAAAAATTTTTGTCAGAAGTGGTTTTAATCATTAATTGTGCCGAGTACACAAACAGCATTCGCAGCCTATGGTTACGTAGCAAACGGAAGGGCCCCAACAGTAGGCAGTCATAATAATAACAATCAGTTTAGTTTTCAGTTATAAATGTAAGTTTCTTCAGGTCTCTACAGTTGTTATATTCGCATAAAATGCCCCAAGTGCATGTGTCTGATTCGTTGTAGCGAGTTTTGAAAAACTTTGTGTACATTCCTAGAAGTCTGTTTTTGCATTCTGGGTCAAACAATATGTAGTAGTAGTAGAAGTAGTTGAGGCTTCTGGGAAGTCACGCTTCCCAAGGGTTTATGAGTCCCGTCATTTACATGTTTTCATCAAGTTAAGTTTGAGTTTCGAGTTTTTTCCAGTTGTTACAGTGAAAGCATTTGCAGATAATTCTCCAAGTGCATCTCTTTAGATAATTGAATTTTCTGACAAAGTAATCCCAATAAAGTTTGCTTATTGATTTTTTGTCAAGATGGATCCCATATTCTTCGTAGTGGTTGATGACGATGTTGTGTAAGAGTTTCGTTGTGAAAAAAGTTATCGTCTGATTTGTTAAGTCTGTTTTTGTTGACTGCATGTTCTCCTCTGCTGTTTTGGCGAGTTTTTTCTTCCTTAGAAGATTCAACAGCAATTGATATGTCATATGTGGTATTTACTAAGGATAAATTTGAAGTATTCGTTGTCACATTTGAAGTATTCGTTGTACAGGTTAGCAAGACGACATGCCCGAAACCAGAAATCCGACTCGCACTTCTTTAGACGCATTTGTTTGCAGACAAAATTTCGTGTCATTTGAGCTCTTCGGTTTCCATTGTCAGTGATGTCAGTAAAACAGACAAAGTCATGAGCCAATCAACCAAACCCAACAATTCCTTCGACGGCCAAAGACGGAAACACTGAATCATCAAATGAAAGAGAAAAATGTGAATTATTCAATGACTATTTTGTCAGCGTGTTTGGCACAAAAGAACATCATACCGTTATCCTCTTTCCAAAAAGTGAGCTGAATAGATTTATTGTTAACCAAAGTCAAGTTAGCGAAATAATGAGGCAACTTATTGTCAATAAATCAATGGGACACGACAACATTGGCAATCTCATTTTGAAATCATTTTACAAAACTCTAAGCAAATCACTTACCTTTATATTTCAAACCTCCATTAACAAAGGAATTTTTCCTGAAATATGGACAGTTAGTGTAGTAACCCCTGTTTTCAAGGAAGGAAGTAAGACCGATGTCAGTTGCTATTGACCAATGAGCCTACTCTGCTGCTGCTCAAAATTGCTTGAAAAAATAATATTTGACAAACTCTATACTAAAGTGAAATACAGATTACCCGAAAGTCAACATGGATTTCGAAAGCGTAGATCCGCCACAATTCAACTTCTGCTATTTCTTGACCGAGTATACGAATTGAACGATCAACAGGATGTACAAGAACTTGCAGTTCTATACTTGGATTTTGCCAAGGCATTCGACACTGTACCTCATGATATTCTGCTTACGAAGATC